CAGAAGAGCTACATTTATTAACACTAGATGATTTTACATTAATAAAACGACGTTCTGCAATTCTTCTTAGGTCAACATTTTGTTTTTTGTATATAATGATTGGATGATTTGTGTTCAAAGTATGGCGTACATATCAACATTTTTTCTTGAAAGTAAATTAATTAAACTAAAGCAAAAATTTTTGCCACTTTGTGTCGAATAAAGTTTATTTTCAATTACCAATATTACTCTCATTTATCCATCTGCGTTACTCAAATACATATCAGCTAATTTAATGATAGAGACCAAAATATTGCCGTCAAGAATTCACTTAATTTAATTTATCCATTGAATGATTTGAACCCATTGTGAACCTTTTCTACCCTTTGTATAAATTATATTACAAATGTCACAACATAACATACGCTCTTTCTGTGCTCTTATCGAAAATTATTTTTTTTATGTTCGGCAACACCCTACCAGCTATTTTAATTTACGTCTCTTCTTTTTGCCATCGGATATTAATAATCAAAAATTTGCATAAAAGATTTCTATACAAGTGGCATATGTCGAAATCCATAAATTTTAAACACTTGACATGGTAATAGAAAAATAGGCAGTTTTATTCTTTAAATGATATGAAACTATTTGTAAGGATTTTTAGTTGATTTTCACAATCTAGTCGCATATTTATATTGTTTTTTTATTTGTTAAACACAGGAGTTCGAATTGTTAGGATGTTTATCTCATGAAGCCCATGCATATTTTCTTCGAAAACAAGTTTGACTTGTTGCTTTAATCCAAATTAAATCTATATTTGAATTTGAATATTTTATATTATTTAATGTATTTATGTAGAAAGGCTCACAAGTATAATTTATAAAATACAAATATAGAGATCTTTCAAGAAATTTTTCCGAAGAAATTAGAGCTGGAAGGAGTATTTAGAGTTAGTAAAATTTTCAATATGTTTTGTAATAGAATACGGAAAATGAATAAAATCGATTCAAGTCGTCAAACGATTATTGGTATTAAAAACTCGAGCTTTCATTATGGTGAAATCAACATTCATCGATTTTTGCAACATTTTTTTTCAATATCCTTTAAAAAGACTACATACTAAAAAAGTGGAAATCATCCTCTGGTGGTAATTTTTAAATATAAATGTCATAAATGGATGTTTTGATTCCAAATATCCATGCATACACATTTAGTTAGTGAATAAATACATCATATTTTTGCGTTTTTTCATTTAATCCCTAATAGTAAGTGTTGAAAAAGTATTCAGCGTAGATTTTGCTAGCTCGAAATTTTGAGCTGCGTTTTCTTCGGCAAAGTTTCTTGAAATGATCCATAATTTCCTAGTCAACTTTTTTGACACCAAAGAACTCGACGCTAAACATCAAACTCACACACAAGAGACAAGTACTTGGAATATATTTGGAGTTCCATTTGGAATATATATATTTATTTCAATATATTTGAAAATGGCGTGAAAAATACCTTTATTACCAGGCATATACAAAATTCATAAATCCCTTTTCAGTTGCGAATATGTTTTTCGAAACTTGACCCTGTTCGCTATTAAAAGTGAATTACTGCAACATCTCGCAATCCCGCAAACTAATATGGAAATAATCGCCCTTCCCGTTTCGAGAACGGAAGATAAGTTTAATAGACTCGGAGAGTTCATCGAAACTCGATTTTATGTATTGAGCAATAAAGAGGTGCCTTCTGTGTACACAAACACAAGTTGACAGTCAGTCAGATGATACCGATACCCAGTTATACCCAGGCCAGAATGGGCCAGGAACGGTGGGTACCTATACCTATGGACTATAGAGAGAGAGGTGTCTGCATATTTTCAAAGCGGTCGGCTGCTGCAAGGACATAATAGCGAAATTATTGAATGGATGGATGAATGCTCATTGTGCCTCTTGTCAGACCGTGTCATATATTATTTTCCTCAAACATTTCGAGTGGACCAGTGGCGCTGGGCAGATATTTTATTCAAAACAGAGGTGAAGTGATTGAGAAAAAATATGTTCAGATTTTATAAAACTGACTATAAACGAATATAATGGTATTTTAAAATCATGATAAATCTTATCGAGTTCTATAATTTATTGAAGTCTAGTCTTGCTATCAATTGAATTCTAAGGGCAATTGCACACCTTGCCCACAAGCCACTCAACCTTTACGTTTACATAGCAGCTTAACCTGTATCCTGCGATTATGATCGATATTTTTATATTGTGCTTAATTTTTCTGATAGTGAGTACAAAAGGTTGGAAGTGAGTATCCAATTACGGCGGAGTACGTTCAATATATTTTCTGTCTACTTTCCAAAATTAATAAATAATGAGAATTATTACTATTTATTATTTCAAACTAAATAATTATACACGTATTTTATGTCAAGTTGCTAAATATTGTATAAACCATAATACTTATTCAAAAATCAAGTTTGAAATTCAAAGTCAAAAATTTTATTGTATCACATGAAATGCAATCTGGATTGTTGGATATCCATCTAAAATGATACATTATTACCAAATCCGTTGCAACAATAGTTCAGAAAGGGGACCCATAAAATTCCAGTTAGGCATTATACGCTACATGTAGCTTTTGCAAAACAACAACATATTCAAGGGGAATTCATAGGTGACACCTATTGATTGTTCGTACAAAAATTGTACACATACACACAAACATATATATATATATATATATATATATATATATATATATATATATATATATATATATATATACGTTAAAAGTAACTTTGATATTTTTATATACATGTGATTTTGAAATTGCCTTCACTCAACGGATAGTCAATATTTTTGATAATTAAAAATTGACAGCACCGAGGTACAATGTTATACATAACATTTTACTTATTATTTTCAATATTTATTTCAGGGTTATTTAAATTTCATGTAAATTTTGGCATTGGTTAACTTTTAGATTCTTCCTCAATTTAACATAAAAACTTGATATAAAGCGTTTTTCCATTATCTCCCATATCTCGTACAATAATAAATGAACAATTGTCCTAAAGGTAAGACCGATGTCAGGGCGCGCGCCCCAGATATTCGAATAACACGTTGCGATTCGGGTCGACAAAAGTCAAACAGCTCTAAATAGTTTTCATAATAACGGTTTGATGGTATATTTACCCACTTGGGTTTTTGTCAAAGTGTTCAACCAACATCTGTAACCAGGATCGTACTAGAGGAAATAAATCTCCTCAAGTAACTTGAGAGATGGGAATAAATAATAATTAGTTTAATATTTTGGCAAAAGCTGTTAATTACATTCTCAAGGTAAATACAAAAATAATATATATTTATTTAAATTCATTCATTTACTTCCATTTATGATGTATGTAACTTTCAAAAATAAGTAACTGTAATAATAAATGAAAAACTGTTATTTTTTATTAGTAATAAATTAATTAGTAAAAAATATTTTTTTTAAACTTATCTTTTTAATATAAATTTAACAGTTGAAAGTAACTAAAAAAGTATGATTTTTCATAAGACACTAAAATAAAATGGTATTATTCCATAAAAATGCAGCACTTTATAAAATTTCCTTTTATTTTAAAATTTTTTAATTTTGGAAAACATTTAACTTTTGTTTCAAACTTAAAATTTAGATGTTAAAAATCTATAGTTTAGAAAATTCGTTTTTTTATTCATCCTGTTGGCATTGATTTGGGGTTATTTATTTATATACATAACACACACACAAACACAAACACACACACAAACACAAACACACACACAAACACAAACACTCACACATATAATAACATATATAATAGGTTGTCAAATATCTCCCTTCCGCTTTTATATATTATATATATATATATATATAAAAGCGTAAGGGAGATATTTGACAACCTAATATATATATATATATATATATATTATTTATAACAATTTATTGGGTTGTATTTTTTATTGAAGTTAAACTTCTAATGCGACATTAAACAAAGTTGCGTTAAACGTTTAACGCTGCTAGAAAGGGTATATAGAAAGAGACCGAGTGAAAGAAACAAAGTTTGATTGTCTGAAAATGTTGATAATATTCTAAAAATGTAGGAAATGCCTAAAATATTTTTAATCGTTGTAGATTGTCTGAAAATAAAGTATTATTGTCTAAAAATGTTGTAGATTTTCCCAAAATGTCTGAATGATTTTTAATATCTATAAAACGATTTTTAACATCTAGATTTCAAGTTCGACTTAAGTAGTTGAATTCTGATGAGTGTAAGACAGTGTGAGATTTTTTCGTGCGATTTGTGGAAATATAAATCCGCGGCGAGCATATGCGTATGACGTCACAGCCCTATTCGCCCCAGCATCCCCCGCATCCCCCGCTTCGGTCGTGAGCGCTCGTGAAGTGAACGAAGGGCACGACGGACGCTCATCGCGGGCATCTTTCGCGTCGCGCGAGGCGGAGCCGAAATTCAGCGGGAAGCGCGCACTCTATCCGAATACACCCCATGGGCGGCGCCCGGCCAAAGGGGTTGCGGATATCTCTCGAAACGACCGGCCGTCAGGCGATCAGTGCTTCGTCGTCCGATCCCGCGAACAAGCGATGCCAAAATTTTGCGCATGGCATCTCCACGTACTGACGATGAAAATCAGTCGAAATCGCTTATAAACCGCGTTTAATTCATTCCAAACGTACAATATGATACTGTCATAACAAATGTATAAACATATTGAAATGACAACTATTAATTCGAAAAGTTAGTTTGTCTTTAATCTATTATGAATCCGTTCAATCTACTTTACATTGTGATAAATTAAAATATGTTTTATGTAAAAACTGTTGTGCTGGTGCCTATGTGATAGTGTCATGACGATTGTTCAAATTGCGGGGCTTGGACCCCATTACTCAGAACATACGAAACAGTTATACATTAGTTTGGTTTAATTAAATATAATTCAGTATGATAGTTTAATTTGTGCAATATTAAAATAAGGGCGATAACAGTCGAGATGGATCTTACTACGGCTTATCGCTACAACCAGAACATGATGGAATACTACACGTGTAAGCACAAGAGGTCTACATAATTAAGTGTTGTATGTTTATATATATACATATATACATGTATATATATATATATATATATAATGTACATGTATATATGTGTATATATAAATTATTGCCAACATTTCATCCACTTTCTCAAATTTGACACGGTTGCTCTTTTATAAATGGTTGCTTAGAGCATAATATCCATGGTTTGAATAATTAAAGCATAATTTAAATAGTTCCTTCGAGCATAGTTTGGTCGAGCACGAACCCAACGCATCTTACAATTCATTCAACATCTGTAAACTTGCACCGCAATCGTGGAAATTAGCAACAATGACTTGATCTTCACCAATTTTTTGGTTCTTTCACTTCCTTCACTGACTTCAGGTTAAACTAGTGTCAAAAACCAAAAAATTAAATTAATTGCACTATAACGTAAGAGATCATAAGAAAAAATGGCCTATGTACCTCATTACCTATATCAATTACAGCCTTAGAGATATTAAACTATTACGGAATCTTTTCAAAGAAGAAGATTCCTAAATTTTCTGACTGCCTAAATATATAACAAAATTATCAGCGATTTGTTTTTGCAGGCGAATATTGAAATCATTATTCCAAAAAGTTTTACCAGGTTTAGATTTTCATGACTCGTAAAATTTCTAAATTTTCTAAGTAAAAATATCAATAAATTTAAATATGCACATTATTTCTTCTAGTCTATTTACTTATATAAGACAAAAATCAAAAGCTCATATTAGATATGAATAAAACAAATTTGAATGTATAGTTGATTTTAGGCATTTGTTATTTGTTTGCGTTATTTTATATACGTCTTAAAAATTTAAAATTTAGATTTTTATTTACCAATAAATACACATATACATTTATTTTCCTTATTGTTACGATTTTCCACAATGATCAGAATTTTCTGTGATTTTAATAACATACACAAGATAAATAGTAGTGTATGAAAAATAATTTTAATCTTTCCGCTAGATGTTCAGAATAAATTTATCATAAACAATATTTTCATTATTTCATTTAGCTTCTCAAATTTTTAACTTAAATTATAAACTTTACTTATTTATAAGTACAAAAAAAATATTAAAAACTATTCATAAAGTTCATTCTAAAACTTCAAATACTGTTCGTAAATTTTCGAAAAGTCAGGAACGCAACAGATCGATAGTTTTTTTTGCGACGGCAAATATCATCGAATTTTTATTTAAGTTTGCAACTAATCTTAATTAAGACAGTGAAGATTTAAAAATCATATAAATAAATTGTTTAAAAACATCAATTTTAATATATACCAATTTTTTTAAATATACAGCATCCCATTCTTTGAATTAAAACATGATATAATATTGACAATTATTTATTTAAACTTTTTTATACTTGATACGTGCAAACATTTAACAAGGAATAAAAAAAATCTTAAAATATTTTTAGATAAATCTAAATTGAAAACATTTAACAAGGAATAAAAAAAATCTTAAAATATTTTTAGATAAATCTAAATTGAAAATATTTAACAATGAATAAAAATATTAAAAAAACTAAATAAATAATATTAATATTATTAAAATATTAAAAAAACAACCAAAATATGACGAAATTATAAATATTTTCTTCAAAAACTTCTTCAAATTTTTGTTTTGGTTTTAGCTCTAGTTTTCATTTGCTTATTTTTATATTAAACATAAAACTAACAATATAATGAGGATATATTATAAATGCCACACAATGTTACTAAAATATTAAAAATTATAGGCTTGTGGAAATAATGTATTTTGATTGTCTATTAAATAATAAATATAAAAAAAACATTAAAAATATTATATTTATATGAATATTACAATTTATTCAAAAGAAATTTTTTGGGAGAACATGTGTGCGATCTGTAGACTCACTGAACATATAAATATATATTACAGTTTTAAATTATTAATCTAATATAATATATTACATATGTCATAGGTATATTACACCATGAATATATTTAAGAAAATCATGAATATTTTTGTTTGAATGTATTTAATATATTTTCACCATAATAACTGTATTATCACAAATACATAAATATCAGATGCTTTATTGTTTAGTATATAATCGCTGTAGTGCTAATGAAGTGGTGAGATGTAGCAATTTTATGAAATCCCAAACATCCCTAAACCTCCTGATTTGATCTGAAGTGACAACCTCTCATGTATGAGAAAGATTAAATACGTTTTGTCAGGCAAGTCAATGAAATAACCGCCGATAGCCATAAATAATACAACACTCCGGGGCACTCTGAGATAATATTAACTAGACTCTAAGTGCTTTTCCATTATGCCGGCATTGTCTGTTTGTGGGTGCGCTCGTATTTCCCGATGTAGACTATTATTAATCGAATTAAATGAACGAATACCAAATATATATATATATATATATATATATATATATATATATATATATATATTTGCGGCTGTATCGTATTATTAAGTCGAGTAATAAGAATAATAACCACTCGGATGCACCCTCAAACCTTGGCTGGTGATGATGCCAAATAGACGCTGACAACACTTCGGCCACGCACGTGTACGATGGGCGACCTTTCCATTTCGAATACTCAGAAAAATTCAATTTTTGTTAATGCATATATTATTTTATTTTACCTTCATCTAATTGAATTGAACAGAAGAAAAATACTCGTAATTTGATTGCCTTTGTAGTTTTTATAACGAGTGTAATAGACGTTAACTTTGTAAGTACAAATACCAGGTAGATGCATGTTTGTTGAACTCGAACAAAATACGAACTCAATTTTTAGTCATAGATTTAGCTCTGCAACGTTTGAATAAATTTTGTATTTCATAATTATACTACTTCTCATAGGCCTCTGTAATATTGCAAACTGTTCGGTTTGACTAACAACTCTATTATCAAACTCTAGTAAACCTTAGATTTTCCTCGTCATACATTTAGGTCTGCAACGATTAAATAAATCTTGTATTTTGTGATTTAAAAATGGGATTTCCAACGGAAACTGGAAATACTATGGACTTCAGAATACGTGATTAATCGTGATTAAAATAAAATCAAGCAAATTTCGCGTATAGATATTTTTATTACATTTTTGACAATCTAAACACTGGTATACTACCAGATCTACTACTGATAATTTTTTTTTTTTTTTTTAAATTTATTTGACTTCGTTAAACAACATTTAGTCATATGTAACTTATAAATATACATGTATAATAAAAAATAAATACAATATATTTTATTGCTAAATTGAATACATTAAAATTTCATAACTATATAATATAAATTCATATAATTTTTTTTCATATTTATATTTTTTTATACAATTTCATGCAATTGATTTAATTGTACTTTTTTAGACATAGTCATTTGTTTAGCATTTTTTGTCTTCGTTTTTTAAATATGTTGCATTCAACAATAATATGTTTTATAGTTTCCTCCTCATCGACATTCACAGAACGCAGAAGGTTTAATACTTATTTTAGTTAGATGACTTGGAAAGTGACCAACGTTTATTCTGATTATATTTAACGTAGTTATAAATTTCCTATCTTCAGTTTCAACGTTTTTCAACCATGTTTTAAAAGCTTCTAACTTTAGTAGTTATTGTCTTATATGCTTTACCTTTTTTATGTTATCCCAAATATTCTGCTTCTACTTGTTTTTTTACTAAAATTATCTACATCTCTTTTCAGAGCAAAAACCATTTTTTGCGTTCCATTATTGTTATTTTAATTTGCATTTTTTCCATCTATTCCATTATGTCCCCAAATCCAGGTAATTTTAATATCACTTATTTTCAATTTTATATTATCCAGCTCAAACCCAATTTCTGTATGAATTGCATCATGAAAAAGATGGTATATATTATAGCTGTTCTTATTTTTAAATCTTTAATATATTTAACTGCATCTCTAAATTTTGGCGTTTTCTGTAAATCCACAAATCCACGTGTGTTAATAATTTATAGGACCATTTTTGACAGTTGAAGCGTCGTCCAAGTAGAAATGTAGAATATGGAGATAGTCCTGGTTCAAACGTATATTGATATTTTACCGTAAGCTCGTCGCAAGAATACGTTTATGGACCTGTGCTCTAAATTCACGGGGCGCATATTGCGGATTCCTGACCGGAATGATCGCATTACAATATTTCTTTTTCTTTTATATCTTTTTACATTTTTCGTTTTTCCCTTATTTTTTGGCGTTCTACTTTCGTTTCTGGTCTCGGTGTCGTTTCTCGGTGACAGTGATATCTATAGCACATTTGTGCCCGTGTTTCAGTGTTTCAGCCGTTGAATATTTCTCTCTGTTATGTGCATAGAGTCGAGTAGAGTGCTTTATTTAAATGAAATAATGAACTCTGTGGTTTGGAATAAATTACATTTAGATCATGTTACATTCATTCTACATACTTTTTGTGTTTGCTTTCCATTTTGTACCGTATTCTGATTTAGCTTTTTCTGCGCAAAATGCAAAATAGGCATATGTGGATGAACAGATGACGCATGTATCTTTTATACAGTTTTTGTTGCGTTTTACTTGCGACATGGAATGAAAAATTTGTATGAAATCGGTAAAATTATATTCGAAATTTTTATGGATTTCAAAAATATGGACGGAAAGATGTTTGTTCAGAAACAGGAATATGTTTATCTAATTGTCGTAGACTCCAAATTATAAATTTAACAGAGTACTATTTATTAATGTAATCAGTATTTCAAATATAATCGTCTTTCTACCAACAAAAAAGCGTGAACAAGAGAAGTATCGAATCAAAGTATTTATTGAGTGGAAATATCTCATTGGTATTCGTGTGAAGTCTCCTCGACCCATTGATAGATTGCGCGAATTTATGCAGATGGTCTCGTTCGAAATAAATACTAAGTGTAGAACAAAGAAAAAAGCGGACGATCCTAAACACTGATAAAACACCCCTGACAAATCCATCTGTAATACCTATATATAGGATAAGCCACT